GACCAGAATTTAGCCTAAAGATCAAACGCTCACGAGACAATTACATGTCTAAAGTCGGTCTCATGTGTGTCTCCGGTTGTCAATTGTTTGTTTCTTGCAAAACATTGTTTTAACCGATCACCATCCTGGTTAGACTCTCTCTCTCTCTCTCTCTCTCTCTCTCTCTCTCATTGTCTCCTTCTCTCTCTCTCTCTCTCTCTCTCTCATTGTATCCATGTCTCTCTCTATATAGAGGGGGCAAATGCACTATCCTCAAACTGCACCACTGATGTAGAATGGAGGACGACAGCGAGAAGAACGGGAAGATAATATTTATTATCCAGATCATCAATCCTTGTAGAAAACTCCGGGTGGTGGGCGGTACGCGTCACTTCATGACTTTTTGTATACATGACAATGATTACAATTCGCGTAAAATGGGGCAACTTTCGTAGATATCCGCGGATTTGGAAAAGAAAGTGTTTTTTGAAAGAACATCAAGAACAACAAAAATCAGAAGAAACGTTCACATTTTCGCAAACATATAAATGCTTTTATGTTTTGTGAAAACAAGGTACTGTTTGTGAGTTTGTAGTCGATAAGCAAACAATAGGGTTACATGTATAGCCCATAATAATATTGTACCGGTTTTTTAATATAAAAAGGGGTCATATTTTGTGGGAAGTGTTCTTGAAAGTATGCCAAATCGGGGGTTATTTCTAATCTTGTGTTACACCCATCGAGATTCAATATAAAGTGTCACCACAGGAAGAGACCTATAAGCTATAAGCCTAGGACTCAAGGTGGCAGCATTGCAAATACTGGAACAGACACAATAGCCACCCCGCCGATCAGACAGTGTGCCGAAAAAACCTAACCCAAACCGAGTTTCGTCTAATTTAATTACAACATGCAACATGATCCAATCTGTTTTCTCACCTCTCGTCAGTCCATGTTACCTGCTTGAACTTCTAATCATTCCCGATATGATAATACATAAAGCGAGGAACCAGGGCCTGGAAACGGTTGTGTACGTGTGGTCCCGTACATGCACCACTTGCCGTAGCACGTTTCCCGTCAAAACTCGCAGCGGCTTCCCGCCAATTTCAATCCTCTGCATAATCAACCCCCACTTCGCGAACAGCGGTGCGAAGTCGCGGATGACGAACCTAAATAATGATGTCTACATCATTTTCAAAATCTTACCAGACAGTTATCCGTCTGTCTCCAATGGCGCATTTGAAGGAGGAGTATGGGGCAGGGGGATTTGTCCCTCTTGAAAGATCAATCAAGGAGAATGTCATGTTATAAAGTGCTAATTGTGAATCATTAAATTAACGATTGTACACGGAAACAAATCAAAGACACATTCTCAAAATACTTTCTTTCATTGCCAAAAGTAAATAATTTCGTGGCACCCTCATATACATCGAGGGTCCCCTCAAAGAAGTTTCTGCATATGGATCGCAGGACTCTTTGAGGTTTTGCCCCTCCCGACGCCTACGTCTGGATACGCTATTGTGTCTGTCAGTGGCATGAACTTGAAAACAGACACCGAGTTTGGTTGCGGAATGAATTTCAAACAATTGTAAAAGACAAACACATCCTAGAGAAATTAGGATGGTTAACTCAGTCGGAAAATCATGCCGAGAAGTGAACTTGTCACAGGCCTATTGGGAGTAACAAAATGTAGGTCCAAGTTTAAATGATCTTCATGTGTGGATAACATGTATCTTGTGAAGGTGGAGGTGCCCAATGTCTTGTTTCATAAAATTGGTGATTGGGCTAAGAAGTTGCCAGAAAGTATCCTATGGTTACGTAATAAGCTTTTTACCAAGAGAAATCATTATCATACTTACAATGTTCTCTTTCAATACCATAAATGGAAAAAAATTGCCTTCAGATAAAAACAAACAAATGTTGGCAGAATAAAGATTGACGGTGTCCAGAACTTAAAGTGTTGTTGGGGTATTTCTGTTTATTTGATGTTCTTTGCACTTATACTAATTATTTGCACTTTCTAACCCTTTTCGAATAAAATTAAAGATATGTACCTTTTAAAATATTCTGATCGAGAGAAATAATTAAGAAGAAAAACTGATATCGATCTCCCCTTTTCACCTTAATTTTTCTTTACATTCAAATGATCAACATAAATATCTTGGCTTAATAATTATACGAATCGTGATCAAAATAATTTCAGAACATGTACCGTAATCAAATACTTAATAATTGATTCACAAGCTCATTCATCAAATGAAGATATTTGTTTAAATACGGCAAACAGCTGACAAGATGAAAACAATAGATCCATATAAACGCAATTTATCAACTTTATGACACCCTGTCCTAAAAGGTTTGTGAAAAGGTCAACGAATTTTCACATCAGGCTATCAGACAGAACATTGTGTGAATAACATAGCAAAGTACAATTGGCATAGAAATACAAAGAGTAATAGATGGCCTTTCATCATAGCTGTTACAATAATTATATGGTTCGAGTTTCTGTTATCGAACCTTTCCAGTTCCTTTTGACGGTGAAAGGAATTTGTGTTTCTTTATCTAGGACGCCCCCACAGCCCAATTGCTTTATAATCTCATAAACAATTTTCAAGTAAATGCTATTTTGTGACCGTTTCAAATACATGTAGACATAAAGTTATGACCACTTACGGTTAATCAGCGACAGGTAATAGCACAAATTAGTTATCTTGCGGTATAAAACATGACATTTTAAGAATAATAATTTATAAAAACAAACAGCTGCTTAAATATCAAAAGGCATGGAAAATATAAACCTAATTGTAGTGATAAACTTAGCAATGAATATCACTAGCCCAAGCTTAAAATGTCAGAAGTCATTGACCCGGGTCAACAAAGATAATAACTTTTTTTATCTGCTTTGTTCGACTTATAGAACAGACACTGAACCGCCATTGTCGACGTTTGACACATGTACAACATGTTTGTAAAATGCCCAAATATTGTGGCACTTTAGTATTTCAATCTAAAAAAGAAACATTGCTAACATAAACCAAATATACAATTTGCTGGATGCCTATTTACACTAACTTGTTGACAACATTAATGGTACTAATATTCTTAAAGCTAAAAACAAACAAAGCAACACACATTTTTGTAAAGTCATAGGTCTATATTCGTGAATGATGGAAGAAATGAGATGAAATTACAATACCATTACGACTACCAAATGGGGGGGGGGGGTGGTAGCCCCTTCTCTCTCTCCAGTTGGAAACTTACGATATCTATTCAGTTGTTGCAGCAATAATGACAGTGTAAGTTCTGGAAATAGTCATGATAACATTTGAACCAAGTTGTGTCAACATCATGAATACATGTATTCTTTTTTCCGAAAATATTAAAATATAATGAAATACTATACATAGAATAAAAGGAAACTTGTTTTTACCCCAAATCTAAACCTTATTAATTTCCATGCAACAAAATGCAAAATCGGTTGTGACATAATAAGGGTCTGTTGCACAATATTGGAGTTGTTGTATGCATAAAGTAAAATATAAACTATATTAATGGATGATTGAGGGGAGGGTGCACAACAAGCCCATGCCCCTTCCCCACTGAAACCAATTTAAATCGGTCGCCCTTTAAACTGCACAACAGAAACATTACCCGTCAATTGTGCAACTTTGCCAAAACGTGCATCCGCCCTTTTGCAAAATCCTGCATTAAGTGCCCCGGCCCCCTCCTCTGACAAAATAGAATCGACGAACAGTAAACCATACCTCCTTACGAATTGTACCTCAGTCATGCCGAAGATAGAAACACCAGACCGACAACAGATTGAACAGAATTAATAAATTACCCATAAGGACAAATAATTGGTTGGTTTGGATTCGGTTTGTGGATGTGACACAGGTATGAGTCAGGAAACATGCGACTTGCATACGTGAAATGTGGTGAGCAGATGCCCCTGGGCCCGGGTAGGTTAGCTACTTCAAGGGCAGTATATGCCAAGGGTAGGTTGCTTTGAAATCAACCGATTCAGTCATTAAAATGTCCTATGACGATGACATTTTTATTTTTCGTTTTGGGGCATTAGGTCACAATGTGTTCATAAAAGTGGAAACGTATTTTTTCCTTAATAAAATGTCTTGTATTGTCTACAATTTCATATGAAATTAATCAGATGAAACGAGAATACGATGAATTTGCAGAATTCATCATCAAGTTATATATCAAAGAGACATGCGCAATATATCACACAGTTCAATGATGACGGTGAAAAACCGCATTACAATAAATTATGCTTATAATAAGTGAATAATCAGCTCCCCCTTCCCTTCCCCTCCCCTTCCCCTTCCCCTTCCCGTTAGACATGTCTGATGATAGATCAAAATCGAAATTTCTTGGTTAAAAAAATATCGCAAATGTTAAAATAAAGAGCTAAAAATACAATACGTAAAGTGAGAGATTTTTCTAACGATGCCTTGAGTATTTAAAACTGTTTATGAACTGATTACAAATTATATTAAAATTTTTTTTTTTAGATTGTTATTAATTATTTTCATTTCACAATGTATTTTTTGCCACATATATTGAATTCTAACTCAGCCTATGTTCAATAAACAAGCCCTCTAACTATCAAAAGCATTTTTGGTTTTAGCATTCAATATAAATTTCAAGACAATATTCAAGAATGAAAAATAACATAATTTAAATCAAAACTAAACATCATACAGTCAGTACAGTACTAAAGTCTCATCGACGATAAATAATCGAATTAAGAAAATTATTTCTTGATTTATACATAGTGTGGGAAGAGCATTAAATGGAAAAGCAAAGAAGCATACAATTATAACAGAGTATATCATCATAAATAAGGTCAACTCATCATAAACAGATTTCAATTCTTTCAACATTTTTAAAGTACATCCAAATAGACAACAATCAATAAATCAATAAATAATTTTCATCTCTCCAGAGTCGTCAAAAATACTGTTTCAATTAGGTTGATAATATTCCCCATTATTTAGCACGTATTAGCTGCAACTGCATATACATTGAGTTGTGATAACGTAAGGCACTTTAAGCCATTTGCAATGTTTGCCACTGGACGAGCCACCGGTCGACTTCGTCTGCGATTCTTCGTTGGTGATCGTCGACGTCTGGCGACCACGACAATGCCAACGTAAGAGTCTGATGTTGGTACTGTCACCCGGTACGCAGCTCATTCCCGCCGGCCACGAGCACGGCTTCTTGAGGCACGTTCCGTGTTTCACCCACGACGGCCAGAAGAGAGGTCCCACGTAGACCCACTCGTAGTGGACGATGCAGTTCGCCTTCCACATCAACCATGACTCCAACGACGCGACCTCCTGATCGGACAAGTTAACCATCGACGAGTCCCGCGAGAGATTCAGCGAGATCAGCTGCCGACGTAACCAGGTATTGCGAAGATTGGGCGGATCGACGACCTCGTTTCCTAATGCCGATTCTGGTTCCGTGATGGACATCCATCGTTCGTCGAGAGCGTTGCCCATCTTTCTGCGAAGCTTGCTCTCGAGGAGATCTCGAGTGTCGGGTCGAGCGTAATCACGAGGGTCTTCGAGCAGGGGTAGTGGCATGACGCGGTCACTCGGCCTCAGCACCGGGCGAGGTCGTGTCAAGAGCGCTACACTGCTCCTGGTCGTCGATCTCTTTGCGCCCTCAATGATTCCGACAAGGATCAACATCACAACCACTCGCATCCACATCGTTGATTACCACCAAATTTCGTCGTAAGATAGACGAGATAAGGAATACTCGATTGGGGTACAAAGAGATATCAGCCGCAACGTCGAGTAAACACAAATGGAACATTAAACGATTTCAAATTCATATTTATCCTTGTCATCCGGATATATGCGATTAGGTGCACGGAAAAAGCTCCGCAGGTAAAAGAAGAAGAAAACATTGTAGACGAATGTCTCATCGTCTAAGAATTCCATCCTGTGAGCTCAAGACGAGCGATGAAAACAGACCCCGCTGCAAAATTATGTTCGACTAAAATTAGTGGGCCATTTAGCGCAGCACCTACGTATGGCTGAAAGGTGACGTCTTTCACGCAGTGAGCCAGTTTATCAGCGACCGCGAGTAAACCAACGACAAAAATAATCACAATTACTGCCATGACCAACAATCTAATGAAGGACGAAATTAAATATTATGCCGATATGACGCCGCAGGTATGCAGCATTTATATTGAGACGTCGTGATTTCGGAAGACGACGCACCAAGAACGTACGAACGATCGCGCGTACATTTTGACATTTGGTTCTGCTTGCTTTATTATGGTGCCCTACTTTTGTAAGATAGTAACAATTGCTGAAATTCGTATAAGACGACGAATTATCAACCGCACGAAGTGGCGTATGTAGTCATTTGGGATTACATACCCCCCCCCCCCATTTCCATTCGAGTGGCAAAAAGGGAGAGGGGAGGGGCAGACAGAAAAAAGCAGGGAAGGGGAGATGAATTTGAAAAATATTACGTACCAAATCGAGCTCCCTTCCCCCTCCCCCCCACACCGCCGCCTCTCACTATCACCACCGTTGTCGTTGTAATAATCACATTGTCTTTATCCTCATTATCCCCAATCATAATATGTTATCAATCCCTGTGAGTGAATTATTCTTTTCGAAAACTCTCTCTCTCTCTCTCTCTCTCTCTCTGTCTGTCTGTCTGCCCCCTCTCTCTTTCTCTCTCTCTCTCTCTATCTCTCTCTGTCTGTCTGTCTGTCTGCCCCCTCTCTCTCTCTACACTCTGTCTGTCTGCCCCCTCACTCTGTCTGTCTGTCTGCCCCCCCCCCCTCTCTCTCTCTGTCTATGTCGCTGTCTCTTTCTTAAATCGCATAGAGTTGTCCTATAAGAATCACATAAACATTTTAGGGGGAAGCAAAAGTTGTAGGCCAAGCTTGTGGGTTCTGACACAGCAGTAATGAAATCATTAATCTAAACAAGCCACTGTGGGCTGAAACAAAGACGTGTTGAAGCGAATGAAGACACTTTCAAAAATTATAATGTGATTTGCAATGTACAACAATGTAATGTTCTTGAAATTACCTTTTCTCTTAAAGTCTTTCTCGTCAATTCTGTTTTCATACGAATTGTCAAATTCCGATTTCCTTTATCGTGCACATAATTCATTAATATCTTCAAATTTGTCTCAGTTTGAGGTTTGAAATCTGATTACCACTTTAAATACAAGCACATTTCACACTCACTCTTCAAAGCCATCTTCATCGTTTTATATTCTTCATTCCTTACAAGCATCGTTCTATGTAGGGTCTAACTTGTTTCACATTAAGTCAATAACCTAGTTTAACCCGGCACATCCCACCATCACACGAGAGGACCTCATGGGGCGGTAGCCGGCTGGGCACGGCGCCTTGCCGGACGGGAAGCCTCCCCGTGAGCGTCTGAGCACATGACTCCTTCGTCAGAATCACAGACATTTAAATGATTATGTTTATCTTCTTGCAGCTCATCTTTATCGTTAACTTGATATTCGAGACATGATCATGATTCTTCATTTCTCTTTATTACGATTTGTTTAATGCAATGTGATGAGAGCACAATAGTCCGATTTGTTCGTGCTCCAAAATTGTTTTCCTAGACACCCACCCTTCTTCATTCACCCATTCCTTATAATAATAATAATACCAACTCTTATATTCTGTATTCGTTTAAATAAGTCACTCTGAAAAAAGAAAAGAAAAAAGAAAAAAAAAAATCCTTTTACATATGTTTTCGTTCAAGTAAGCATCAACCTTCGGTATCTCACCTTTAGAAGGGGAACGGAAAAAATGAGAAAAAGATGTCATAGAAGAAGGTAATCCTGTAGGGAGGAAAAACAAGCATCGAAGAAGAAAAACACGCGCACAAACTTGCACACGTACATCCACATGTTATCACATTGTTCACGGGGGCACACGTTTCCAAAAATATCTGACAATCCAAAGCAAAACCAAAAGTACTCTAAATTGACTGAAGCGAGGATAGGGCGGGGTGGGAGAGAGGGGGGGGGGGGGCGTGCATACGCACCCAGTTACACCATAATTAGCTCTCCTCGACTAGCTATGAATCGCATGTGTATCCACACGAAATAAAATCAGGTACATGTAAAAGTGTGACACTTAGTTTGGCCGAAGCGGGGTTTCAACCTGTGACATCCTGGAAAAGTGTCTGCTTTTGTTTTTATGTATCTTCGCAATATCAGGATCTTCGCTACTAGTACTACAAAAATGTATTCATGTAATTAGACTATATAATATACAATGAATCACCATCTCGTCTTCGACTTGACGAGATGTCGAGACGAGGAATATCATCTCCAGTAGCGGTTCTAGAGAGAGCGGTGAGAAGGACCAAATAATTAATTATTAATGATTTTAAGCGAGGCACATTATGTAGAAAATTAATGCAAGAACGCCAAAGTCCCTTAAACGCCCCTAAAGCCCCACCCCGGGAATATGTTCGGAAACATCACCTTTTTTAACCAATATAGTAACTATAGCTGTAATCTTTTTATCTTTTATTGTACTTTATCTTCGTCGTTAAAATTTTATTTCACCTGCATGTGCAGTTTTTAGCTCTATTCCTTCGTTATTTGTGCAAACTATGAACCTTCATATCTTATATCTACCATTCTCTGTGGGCTACCTGTTCCGTCATTGTTGCAATAAACCTGCAAATGGTTATTTCTAAAATTCCTTTTTTTTTAAAAACTCAAATCAAATCGCAATTTTATATCAACAATGAAAGTTGTAAATCGCATGTTAATATAGTGAAAACTTGTTTAGTTTGCAATATATTTGAAATAATATCGATGTACTTTTATTCCATAAACTTTTACTCTGTAAATTGAACAACTTCAGCTATTAGCTGCATGTTCGATGATTAAAATAATAAATCTCGATAAACCAAACCAAACCAATTCATTACAATACGATACAATACCAACCCCCAAATATATATAAAATATGTATGTATTTATATATATTATTCTAGAACCGCCCTTGCTTATCTCCATGTGTTATCCTTTCCACTATAGAGGTCCACATGTCGAGATCGTGGACCATAATATTGTCTCCGAGTTGGTACCGTGAAACTTCTGTTAATGTACCTCTAGTGGCGAAACAAACCTCCCGCATTTTCGTTTTTAAAAAATTATTGTATGGCTCAACATTAATCTGTCAATGATGCCTTGCTTGCTAACGATATATAGCCGGTTTATATTCTTTCGTTGGTGGGTCAAGTGTTTCAGAAGCGGGAGCATTAAATACTCAAGATCATAATAGCGAAACATTTTAGGTTTATATATTCTAAATCAAGAAGAAATAATCTGAACTTTTATTAAAATTCTCTTTCTCGTCCGCAAACACACACGCCTTCTTTTTTCACCGTCTCCCTCTCTGTCGTCTTTCTCGCTCCTCTCTTTTAGTTTTTCATTCCTAATACGGATGGGGTCTCCCATGTGTAGGACAAACATTTCCGACAAGTTTTCCCATAATCAAATACACCAACATAAGAATAAATGAATACAGTTAGATAGACAAATGCATCCGCAGTTGGGGATCGGCGGATCCAGGGGCAAGGAAGCAAGATGGGCAAGGGGGTACTCCCTCCGAGGGTACATGCCCACGGCAAAACCCAACCTGGCATATCGTAAGCAGGCCTACACATTAAATGCGAAAAGATTCTGTAAACTGCTAAATGTGCTCCTTACCCAGGAGTGATATCAGACATACACAGAGACTTAAAAGTGTGATTACGTTATCTACTTTCTTCCCTACGCCCCCTTTTTTTCTCTGCTTGTCAGGAAATTCCGATTCTCGGAGATTCTGATTGTGCCCCCTACAGCTGGAGAATTCTGAATCTGCCACTGATCAGATATTAAAGTTTGCTGACAAAGAGTTGTTACGAAATGATCCATCAAAAGGGTAGGAAAAGTACTAAATTTCTTGAATAGTCTATCATAATACTTAAGTTTGCCGCCATTAAATAAGGGTTTACATTCACTGCTTCAAAAGGTATGCTTCCCGAAGAAAGTAGGGAACGTGTTAAAGACCAGAGCCACCTATATGTAGAGTTTGGCCAAAACGGATAGTATTGTGCACAGTATGGCGAATGCTAATTTGTTGGGCAAGGAAAGAACAACAAATTGTTGTGACCAACTGAAACCAAGTTGGCAAAACTCTGTGGATAGATGGCTCTGTTAAGGACATGCGGAAAGCACCATCGTAGCAATATTGATTTTCCCACTACTCGTTCAAGATCGATAATGCATTCTCACAAAGGGCCGTCCACTCTCCAACCGTATCTTAAATACATTAATCACCCCTCAACAAACAATTGCGCTCCTAAACAGTCGATATGGAAGGAAGGAAAAGAGTGGTGTTGATAAAAACCCTTTGTGAAGAAGGTGAAAAGTTTAATTGTTTACTGTTGTCTGACTCGGGATAAAAGATGGATAAAGGGATATCGATATTGTATTGAACGGTGGGATGTCTCGGAGGTGCTTGTTTACGGCACGTGGGATGTTTTATAAAGACACGTCCTGTTTTAACATGACGGTTGTAGATGTTAACATTTTTGCTGAATGTCAACCCGTGAGAGAACACTACCGAATCCTGACAATTTTTTAACATCATTCATGCAGTATGTTATGGTGAAGATAGTGTGGGAAATATGTATTGAAAGAATAAAATGAAGAG